AAAGAAAGAAAGAAAGAAAGAAAGAAAGAAAGAAAGAAAGAAAGAAAGAAAGAAAGAAAGAAAGAAAGGAAGGAAGGAAGGAAGGAAGAAAGAAAGAAAGAAGGGAAGAAAGAGGAAGGAAGGAAGGAAGGAAGGAAGGAAGGAAGGAAGGAAGGAAGGAAAAGAAAATGTGAAAAACAAAGATTTATATCTTTTCTCATAACTCATGTAGACCTTAGCCTACAATATATACACATATAGTTAAGCTAATATACATCTGGGTACAGTATAACACACAGAAAGGCAAACTAGAAAGAAAACATAAGAGGTGGTGAGGAAGGTTTTAAGGCACATATTCCTGGTATGTCCTGCCCATGCTAAGTTTGATAAAGGACTTGTGATTTGGTCTCTAACACCCTAAATAGTCCATACTGATAGCATTTCCTGGTCGTTTCCAGCCTTCTACCTAACCCTTCAAGATACAGGCAAAGTTGTTGCATGGCATTTGTTTCTCATGTAACTCAGTTTTCCCCTTGAATACGGTTTTTCAGTATTGACAGGAAGTGTAGTTATCCACTGAACCATCTAATCCACCATCTAATTCTTTTACTTGCCAATATTGACAATCTACCCACAAACCAATTCCAATTACAGTATTTATCAGGCTCTAGCCACTTCTCATAATTACCTATGCTAATCATCCAGTTCCCATCACTATCATCTTCCACATGAATGACTTCCTTTGACTCTCTCTCCATGAGGTCCATGTTCCACAATGTAGGAAAAAAATCTCTTTGTGAAACAGAAATCAAGTCATCCCTTGACTGCTGTAAACATCTACCTCCTCCACCCAGAATGAAACAGGATTAGACCCTGTTACATTCTTCCAAGCATGCTTTATGTGTGGCTCCACTGTTCATTCCGCAGCAGCCTTGAGGCTTGCTGTATCCTGAAGATGACAAACTTTCTCTCAGACTGCTCACCACTTTTCCTGATTCCTTTTCCAGGATCTCACTCTTTCTCAGTTCTTCTCTCGGTCTGTTGTGTTTCTTTATAATTCTTGCCAGCTATTGTTATGTTTGCTCATTTACATTTTCTTGGACTGAAAACCCATTGAGAATAGATGTATCTACTTTGGCTCATTATTGTATAAATAGACCCTCAAACTATGAACTGGAAAAGTGTATGTTAAATGTATTTAATAAAATAACTGTGAAAACATTCGACATAAAAACACTATCTACTTGCTTAGTGATTAATTGCACAAGTCAGAGAAAATGAGGTCACAGCTCAAGCAGGCCCAAAACACAGGTGTTTTAGAAATAACATATGGAGGTAATTATTACTAATATTTTCCTGGCAAAGAATATAGATGGATTATTTTGTATGCTCATATACAGACAAAAAGGTAAGGGGCACATTAATCTTTCTTACAAAATGTAGCATTTTCCAAACAGTTACAACTGCAGCAAACATCCATTATAATAAAAACAACTTTTATACAAATACATATTTGAGCAGCTAAACCTATGGATTAGATTGTGAAATATGTCCCAGTGTCCATGCCCTAGCTTAGCACACATTACTCCCAGAGTAATGAATTCTCACACCAGAGTACAACCTCCCCGAACCTTTCTCACAAATGACATCAGGAATCCTGTTAACTGTCCTTTGCTGTTGCACATGATCAACCACCTTGCCGGGCACATGTATATTATCAGGAGTCAGAAGTCTGGCAGAATAAAACCTATTTCTTCATCCGCAGTGAAGGCAGCCTACAAGGCAGTATATTCAGAGGCATGAAAGGTTAATGTTATAGTGACACCTGTTCAGGATATGACTTCCTGTGATCCTTTACAAAAACCTAATTTTCAGCCATATGATCCCAGCAGACTTGAAATTCAGACCTCAAAGGCAGTGTATATTTGATATTTTCTTGTAATTCTGTAATGAAACCGAATCCTGAATAATTTAAGATCTGCATACTCATAAAGATGAAAGAATAGGGTACAATCTAAACAGGAGCTTAAAAAGTGGAACCATTTCCCTGCATTGCCTTGGAAAGGATGTGGCTTTGATATATTTTCTAACAATGAGTTAGCCACTCTATGGTGCAGAGCAGAAGAGCAGTAAGCCCTTCTCCAGAGGGCTTTTTTGAGCCTCTGGAGACCGGAGACCTACCCATTTCTTTGCGTTCTTATGTCTGAGCACTTACCTAGATAACAGAGAGGAGCTATAAACACACTAGGGGCAGCAGGTTTTCATCATATATACACAAATTTCATAACTGATAGGTAGATAGATAGAGATCGATCGATAGATGACTGATAGATGATAGGTAGATGATAGACGTGAAGCAGCTTGATTTCAAATCCCCTTTAAATGCATATTTATCTTACCCTCCTACACTCAATTATCACAGCTCCTATGGATGGCAAATTTAACTTCCTACACTTATCAAGGGAAGAACAAAATAAGATCATTGCGATTCTACTTCGACACTCAAAGATCACCTCGGACACTCACTGGGTTATTCGTAACCCACTATAGAAGTCACTAAAGATTTTGTAGTCCCGCAGTCCAGTGAGCTGACTATTGTTACCACCATGCTGGTTTGTTATAGTTGTACACTATACTTTCACGAAACATACACCTACAAACCAACCACTTACTAGATATTTCTCTGAGGTGTCACTTTGACAAGGTAATCCCTCCAACAGCTGCAGGTCCTAGTATTGTCTCGCTTGTTGTTGACTTGGAGCTGAGTTGGCATGGCTGATCCAGTATCAAAAAGCCATAGCTGATGCATACAAAGGACCAAGTATCTGCCTGGCAGAGTTCATGCAGACCACCTGACAGAGTCTTCCAGCCTGAGCTGTTGCTGGGTCAAGCTGAGACTTGTGTTTTGCACCAGAACACTACAGCACAATTCTGTTAATGCCTCTACAGAGTCTTGCCTTCCTGTACCCTAACTGATTGCCGAGACTCTCAACCACAAATCCTCCCTCCATAGTCCTTTCCTTGGGGACCGCCCAACTAAGAGAAATGTACAGAACCATATAATGAAAGTCTATCCAGCCTGTGTCTGCAGGTGCTAATATATTGATTTTTGAGCCACCAGAACCTCAGGAAATAAAATAATATCCTAAGTTTTTGTGAAGCCTCATTAGGTTCTCACTGTGTCTAGATCAATTTCAGCTGCAAACCTCAATGCTATGGAGAATAAAAATTTAAATCTAGAGGAAATTTGGCAGAAAGAGTTTCTGACAAATGTGTAAGGCTTAGTCACAAGATAGTGTGAGAACTCCTGCTTCTGAAGATAGCAGATCTCCGGGTGACCTCTGCTACCCCTTTCAAGTGCCCACGGTTTACCCCTTCCTCCCTGTTGCTTTAGCTCCTTACACATTCTCAAGGTTCTCTTTCCCCAGACACACCTGAGCATTTACTTAATTGGCAGCACAGCCTCATGTTTCAGCTTGGAGCCTAGATTCTGAGGGAATCAGTTTTGACTTTACCTGTAGGTTTGCTCTCAAATAGTCCTCATAGCATTTTTTTTTTTTTTACATGTTACACTTTTTTTTTTTTTTTCTGAAACGACCTTGCCCCTTGTTCTGCCACACAAAGGCATTGCTGAGGAGTCACAGTGCATACAACTGGGTGAGCAATGCAGCTGTTACTGTCTCAAAAAAAAAAAATTATCCCTTTACACACTAGCCTTAGTGTTACCCAACACAGAGATTCGTTGCCAGTTAGAGACTCATGAGCTAAGCCCAAGTAACTGTCTCTGATAAACTTAAACAAGTCCCACAAGTTACTCAGATATACTTTACATGCAAATAAAATTCAGAACTATTGGGGCAGGAGAAATGGCTCAGAGGTTAAGAGTGCTGTTTGCTCTTCCAAAGGTCCTGAGCTCAATTCCCAACAACCACACAGTGGTTCACAACCATCTGTAATGATATCTGGTGCCCTCTTCTCGTGGTCAGTTGTACATGCAGGCAGAACATTGTATACATAACAAAATACATAAATCTTTAAAAAAAAGGAAACATTTAATTAAAAATTCAGAATATTTAGATTTTCTGTAGCATCATACTGAAGATGATCAATTAACAAAAAGCTCTGATTAAAATTAACATGTATATATACATAAAATGTTACAGAATGACCTCAACTAAAAAAATGTTCTTCCAACACAAAGGAGTACTAGATATGGTGCTGAGGATATATTTATAATATGCAATAAATTATTCCAACTAATGGGTTTCAATAAAATATTATTTTGGATAATTATCTGAATATGCTTCATATATTAGATGTTAAAAACAATGTCTATTATATAAAAGGTCAAGCAGAAGTATTTAATGAACACACACTGGGAAGATTATACACTTAATATGTAAAATGTGAAATAAGAAAATAGCAGAAATGCACACTATTTACTTGTAAGTTAAGTTTGGTTAAGGCTACTACAGCATTCATGACAGTGTTTATGTAGCTATATGAAAGGTAATTCTGGCTTTTGTAGTCTGATGTGTGTTCTCTTTAGTGGTCATAGTTGTTCCTAGGCTTACAGCTTCTTCACTGAGGATGAATGTACAAAGAGATTCATTACTGAATGCAAAAAGTGGATGCTTGCTTTTCACAGATGCAGATTGTTCACCCATACCATTGGAATGACCTTAAATGATGATAACTCAACAAAGTATTTCTGGAACTCTAGATATAAATAAATCATTCAAAATATCAGTTTAGGTAGGATATTAGATACACTTAGCAAAGAAATCAAATATGTTGGAAAGTATTCACATACAATTTAAAGTTGATAATAAATAAAAATCGATTTAATAATAAAATAAAAATCAATATAATAGGAAAAGACAAAGCCAAGGCTTACCTGGATAACATGCTTCAGTTTATCAATGATCTGATTTATCACGGGGTCAGATCCTCTGACTCTGACTTCAGGATTTCCAGATTGAGCTCTGATTCCATTTCCAACCACACGTTGAGCATAGCTAACAGAGTAAAAAAGAAAGATTCATGACTTGAAGACCTGGTCAGTAGCATCTTGAGAGCTGCTTGAGACATCTGGGTTCAGAATTTCATCTTCTGTGAACAGGCACCAGGGCTGTGCTTCTGAGAATATAGATGGATAAAGTGCTACAATGTTCTATTGAGCTGAAATGGTTATAGTGGAAATAACAAAAGACATATTTGGCTTGTAACTGTATTTAACAACATGATAGAGAAAGAGAGAGAGAGAGTTGTGTGTGTGTGAGAGAGAGAGAGAGAGAAAGGAGAGATGTTTATATATCTGACTGAATTACACTAATCTACACTCACATCTGTGTCAATTTATTCTCCATGATATGTAGATAAGCCCCAGTTCAGATATATATGTACACAGGCACACACACACACACACACACACACACACACACACACACACACACTCATATATATATACACATGTGTTTCTGTCCACAAGCCAAAATTATTCACTTCCTAATGAAATAAAATCCACAAAATCTTTTGTAGATATAGGAAAGAATCTCCTTTAATAATATGCAAACATTTGTAATAGGATGATTTTACAGGCAGTAGAAGGTCTGCTACCTTCCCCCAATGACAGTGATATAATATCAACTTAATTTTGATGAACATATTGACATTCATCAGTCCCAAAAATGTACCAATACCTATTCTATTCAATATTCTTTACCAATAGACTAGGTACAAAAGGAGGTAAAAATCCTTGTCCTCACAATGTTCATTACAAACCGGATAATATAAAATATCAATGCTAATTAAATCATTCATTGATACAGTCACACATTACATTTTACTAGATTTCAAAGTTATGTAGTGGAATCCAGCCATTTAACTACACTTGTATTTCGTGCAGTACAAAGTCACTTTATAAGTAAAGCAAGCCCTGATACTTTACTTATATTCCTGACAATGATAATATCCTTGAAAGACAAATGGAAGAAGCAAATGAACAATATACACAGGGAAGTCCCCTAAGGCCACTGTCTATGAGGTGGAGAATCCAGTGACAGCTGCAGACTCTACCCTCTGAGTAAAACTCTCCTCTGGTAACCTGTTTCCTTATACTATGACAATTAAACTATGGAAACTTTCCCACAGTGGCCTTTACTTATTTGAATGTAGTTTTCCTTCCTTCACCTTGAACTGTCTGTCACAGTTGTTGACATGCCTTCTCCACAAAATTCCTACTGGAGTTAAAACAAAATCTTTGGGGAAAAAAAAATGAAATAATGTTCCGCTCTTAAAAGCATGATCATATGAAATAACTTTAAAGAATATCCATTTCAAAATGTAGATTAAACAATTCTAAAAAATAGAAATTTGACATTGGTAACATTAACTTGATATAAAAAGAATGATAATATTAATAAATCCATGATAGGCAGTTGTTTGAATCTTTTTTATTTTTAAAATAATCTGGAACTCACTTCTTTAAGCAGCCAAAACAGAACTTAGAGGTGGGTTTCCTAGTATCTATTAGGGATTGGGCAGTTTATACCAGTATAAAATAGGAGAAGGCAAATGAGTCCATTTCTGCTGCAAGTGCTCCTCATTCTTCATTACCAAGGAGTAAACTAATCTTGATCTTCTGCAGCGCTGCCATGGTGTACATCATTTGTCTCATGCTACAAGCACGTTACATATTTGGCTACTTAATTAAAGCACTGAGAATTAATAAAGATGATGGCTAATATGGGTAAATAAAAATGGTCATCTAGACTGGAGTCCTGGGAGAATTCTGAGTGCTCGTAAAGTAAATATATAAATAAATAAAGTACTTGAAAACAAGTCTTGTGACCTGGTTCTTTTTTTTTTTTTTTTTTTTTTTTTTTTAAGAGAAGGCTTTATTTTCAGACCAAGAAAACTCAAGGGTGAATGTAAAATAGGCCTAGCCACTGTACTCAGTTTCTACCCAGGGGCCTTATACTCCATCTTTTAAGGGCCCTGTTAACTAAAATGTGGGGTACCAGTCTGTGATTCACCTTGATCGGGTAATATTTTGTCACCAAAATTTCTGAACCCAACATCACATTATTCTCATTGGCTCTCCAGGAGTAACCTCATCATATAATTCTGAGACACTTGTCACTAAGCCAAGGACATCATCCTTTTTCATTAAATGTTAATGCCTATTTACTCAGTGAGTAACATGCCCCAGATACTCCATCCCAGATACAGCAATTAATAATATAGCTACAGACCTCATCATTCTTTTTTTATGTAACATTTTTTCTATTTTTATTTTTATTATTAGTTACATTTTATTAACTCTGTATCCCAGCTGTATCCTGATCCCTCATTCCCTCCCCAATCCCACCCTCCCTCCCTCATCTCCTCCCTGCCCCTTTCCAAGTCCACTGATGGGGGGGGGGCTCCTCCCCATTCATCTGATCCTGTTTTATCAGGCATCTTCAGGACTGGCTGCAAAGTCCTCCTCTGTGGCCTAGCAGGACTGCTCCTCCCTTGGGGGGTGGGAAGGTCAAAGAGCCAGCCATTGAGTTCCTGTCAGAAATAGTCCTTGTTCCCCTTACTATGGGAAACCAATTGTTTACTGAGCTACCATGGGCTACATCCAAGCAGAGGTTCTAGGTTATATCCATACATGGTCCTTGGTGGAGTGTCAGTCTCAGAAAAGACCCCTGTGCCCGGATATATTTGGTCCTTGTGGAGCTCCTATCCTTTCCATGTCATACAAACTGCAAAGTCTTCCTCTGTGGCCTAGCAGGACTGTTCCTCCCTTGGGAGGTGGGGAGGTGACCTGGTTCTTTAAAACACAAATTGTTTTCACGACCCTCCCAGGTATAGAGAATAAGATAGGAGTGAGTTTACTTCAGATTATTGATTAATACTTCATATTGTTTTTTGTTTACATGCCTCTATGGAAAAGCATGTTTTGCCACATGGGATTTGTCCTTATAATTGTACACTTTTTTTAACCTTCAAAGAATTAACTGTCTGATACGCTGAATAAAGTTGGCTATTGCATGAGACTTAATTTCACCTCATTTATCAGCTCTATTTTCCCTGGTACAACCACCAACTAGAGCAGTAAATAAAATAAATAGCAAAATAATTGTGATTCATATATTTCTTTAGTTAATAAATGTGGAGGCTGTCAATTCTCCTTTGTAACTGTCTTTTGTGACAATGAATTTCGGCTTCATTCATCTAAAATAAAAGAGGAAGAAGGAGGAGGAAGAGGAGGAGAAAGAAGAAGAAGAAGAAGAAGAAGAAGAAGAAGAAGAAGAAGAAGAAGAAGAAGA